GTATTTATATATCCTTCACTGAAGCTTTATAGGTGAAGCTTTGCAAGTGATGCTTTTGAAGCTAGAGCTCTGTAAATGAAGCTTTCAAAGTTGGAGCTTTGTAAATGAAGCTTTCGAAGCTAGAGCTTTGTAAATGAAGTTTTTGAAGCTCAATTAACATGAGTGATGCTCATGAATGTTTATGTGGATTGACATGAGTGATGTTCATGGATGTTGACATGAGTGATGCTCATGAATGTTTAACATGAGCGATGCTCATGAATGTTTAACATGAGCGATGCTCATGAATGTTGACATGAATGATGGTTATGAATGTTTATGTATGATCGTCATGAGTGATGCTCATGAATGTTTATGTATGAATGACATGAGTGATGCTCATGTATAATTTTAGAGTACTGGGCGTACTTTTGATCACCTGGTTGGTGATAATAGCGGCAGGCTGCTGAATAATTTTGGAGTACTGGGCGTACTTTTGATCACCTAGTGGGTGATAATAGCGGCAGGCTGCCGAATAATTTTGGAGTACTAGGCGTACTTTTGATCATCTGGTTGGTGATAATAGAGGGCCTTGCTCTTCTGAGCATATGGGTCTTCGCCCTCCACATAACATTCCAGCCCATTATTTTGGGTTTGCCCTTTTTTTATTTTTTATTTTTATTTATTTTTTATTATTATTACCCTTTAATGGGGTTTATACAGATGTCTCTGAAAGATAAGAAAAATAAATTACATCATTTTGCCTGATAAAGATAATAGAGTTCTTTATCTTCTTCCAGTGGTCGACACCTTTTCTCCCCAGACATCTTTTTCTTTTTCTTTTTTTATATTCCTTTTCTTCCCATTGTAGATTTACATCATGGGGTTTGGTCAGCAGGCATGATCTGCTCCCTTTATTCCTTGCTTTTGCAGATTTGCGTGCCTGTTATCCGTAACTTTTCTGTGGGTGGTTGACAAAATAAAGAAAGCACCAACCGCTATTATTTTCAGCTTTCAACTAAAGAAAGCATAATTCTTTCTTTTCTCTTTTTGCTTTTTCGTCATGTGAGCACATGACTGCACCACTTGCAAACAGAATGGTCGTTCTAAATGGACCGAAAGTCATGAGTGTGCCAGTACTTCGTTCCACTTCCTGACCCATCAGCTGACGAGTATGGCAAAGGCTCTCTGTGATGCTTTCTACGGCAGATGTCATTCCATCTTTTGTTACATCTTGAATGCTACCATTCTCAGCTTAGCAAACATTTCCAAGTTCTCACATCTTCAGAATCCGTAGAGCATGAGTTTTGAAACAGGAAACATCAAACTTGGAACAATAGAAGTGACCTGGAAACCAATATTTACAACAATCCCTGAAGTTCGTCTTCCTGCATACAAAGCAAAAGTTGCCTGATTAATGGCACAGACAGCAGGGACATTCATGTCAAAAAGTACTTTGTATATAGCCTCTTTGAGCTGCCGTCTCGATGCTTTAGCAGATTCAGTATCATTGTAATGGCATATTGGTATAGATAAAACCATGGGCTGCGAAGACGGTTTCACCTGCATCTAAAAAGGTTACTGACCGGCCTGATGGACATGCGTATTTGCTCCAGCCAAATTGAGAATGTTTGAAGTGGGTATCTGAATCTCAAATGGGTTTCCGAGAAAGCATAGGATTCCCAATAATTCTCCTCCTCCTGCTTCTGATTCTTTAGAAAGAAAATCCACAGCTCGTTCTCGGAGACAACGCACCGCCACGCTCTGCACACGACGCTCAATTTCACGGCTTCCTTGGGCCCCACCAGTCTCGCGATTTGCATCAGTAGGTTTGTTGTTGATGCGGTGATTGGGTTTAACGAGGATGACGGTGGAGAGCCAGGATCTGAAATTCCAGAAATTGGAAACTGCAATTGGATTCGGAGGCATCCAGATGGAAGGATAGGTAAATCGATGGCAAAGAAAGCTTAATCCGCTCTGCTCGTAATCAAAGTCGAACACCGTGGCATCGAAGAACTTCTGCAGAAGTCGATCGGAGGTAGATTTTGGGACCAACTGCACAGTTGGACAAGTGGAAGGACGACATGTGTCAGGCAACCCAGGTGAGGACGAAAAAGAAGGAGAAGAGAGCTCAGACTCAGTACTGGAAGACATTTGGACAAATTGAAACCCAGAGTCACGAAACTGGAAGGATGAGGAACTTATAACTTGACAAAAATAATGTGGGTCGGGTTGTTTGGTTCTTTGGTTTCTGTAGATTCACGGTGGCTATTTTGGTGAGGTTGTGAAAGTTTCACGGTGGTGAAATGAAAAAATGAAAGAGAACCGACATAGCTTTTCGTGTCGTTTCCCACAGACGGCGCCAAATGTTGATGCACAAAATCGGAGGGGTCTTGGAACAACGTAAATCCGATCGTGAATCTGCAAGAAATGTAAAGAACACAAGATGTATCGTAGTTCACCCTAATGTTTGGGCTACGTCCACATTGATATTGTATTTCTCTGAGATGTTGAAAAGGGAGAGAGAGAGCTTCTGAGGATGAGAGAGCTCTTCTCAATTTGAGAGGTTGAGGGGGTGAGGAGGCCCTTTTATAGACTAAGGGCTCCTCCCCTTTTTACATATTTGTCCATTCCTTTATTACATAATTACATTTAAGTCCCCCGAGTATTTATACGAGATCTAAATACGGAGGCCCTAAGTATGGTACAAACATGACATTTTACGTTATTTTAAAATTAACCCGTTTTGTGCATCAACAAACATGTTTTAAGATACTTGAGAGTACAATACTTGAACAAGTGAGTATTGCCTTCTTGAAACTATCAAGGCGCATGCCACTATAATGTGAGCTCGAGTTCTAGGCGTGACATCACTAACAAAGAAGTCATGTACTTTTTCCAAATGGTAGTGACAGAAAACAATCATTCATATGCACCATGATGAGGGTTGGATCCTCATCAATTTTCCTTCCCATAACAACTAGAATTTAATCCACTAATGCTAACGCTCTATTTAAAAAATTCATATCCTTTTTGATAAATCTAAGAAAATAATGTTGTTTGCTTTTGGTTTTAAATTATTGTATTGTTTATTTTAATGTTTCTATACAATGATATGTCTGGTCTAAAGAATGAAGGAATAAATTGGTATCCAACTCATCATCTACGATTTCAACCTTATGACCTCTCACTTACAAGAGAAATACCACTAGACCGTTGTATAGAGTAATTAGTGTATTGTGTATTAAACAATGAGTTTTGATGAGGAATTTTAAATGAGATGATCTCATTTTAGTATTATTTTTCAAGGAAAGAGGCCATTTCCCAAACGTTTCTCTCTTGAAAATATTGTTCAAGGGTTATTATTATGTTGAATTGAGAACTATTGCCCCATAAAATTCAATGCTTGAAAGGGTTTTTTAATTTTTTTTTTATTACAATCGATATTCTATACTAAATTATGGTAAGGTAGATGAAAATTTTGGACACAAAACATATTGAATTGAAGAAAAAGACTATAACTACGGCAATCACCGCTTGCAATACTAGAAAAAATTATATACTTCAATGCACGTGGCTTGTGAATCAACTCCATTCCTTTTAAAACGTTGATTTAATTTTAAACATATCTCAGTCCATGTCTATCTAGAAATTTGTATGAAGTTTCAACACAGAGAAATATTTTAGGGTAGAATGCTATCACTATATTTTCTTGGTCCATCCGTGACCAAAATTCAAACTATACTTTCATACATTCGGACACAACGCAGACAATGGCCACAGTTCCAGCTTTTCCGTATCGAAAAGTAAATGGTCGCGTAAAGTGTCAGACCAGAACTGGCCTATTTGTTGACCCAAAATTTGACAAAAGGATTTTGGTCTCTTGTGCAGTGCACCTAAACTCCCAAACAGTTGTGTAATTTTCTATTGATTTATTTTTTAAAATGAAAAATAATGAAAAGGGTTTGAAAACTTTGAGTTTTAATGATAAGGACAAAATAAAGGGTAAAGTGAATAATACCAGGTTTGACTTTTTAGTTTTAAAATGTGTTTTTTCGTTAAAGTAAACATTACCGTGAGTTTTTGGTTAAAACTCTATTTTTTAAATTTATAAATAACAATATTTACTTTAGAAGAATAAAGATTTGAGTCAGATACTCAATGCATCAGCCACTATGTATCGAACTCAACATAAACATGTCATCGTATTTTATATGAATTGAATATGAGATATTTTACTTATGTAATTATAACACTATGATAAATTTTATTAGATTAGCCATTAACAAGGTTTCATCCACGCCGTCATGTAATGGCTCAACTCTTTTTTACTACTGTAATAAAGGAAAACTTGCTTGAACGGATGAGTTGGAAATGATTTAAAAATAAATATATGAATAAACAACTACAGTTTTGTATCACGTAGGTAGGGAAGGAGGAAGTAGGTATGTGAAAGTATAACTACATGTGTGAAATTTAATGGAGACACATGTTCCTACCAAACCCCACATAGTATCAACTACCTCCCAACTAGAGTTAATCCCCTCTCCTCTCCACGTTCTTTGAATGCTAGCCACCCGTCTATATATGCCTTCCCTTCTCTGCTTCTCGTAAACTGATTTTAATTTTCAATCGTCAGATTAATGATCAAATATTAATAAGTGTGTTTAAAAGATAAGAATAAGTATGTAAATATCACTTTCTTATAATTATTCGTAACCACCAAGAGTGGCTAAACAATCCCAATGCCAAAATAAATACCAATATGTCGTAGTACTCAGTGACGCTAAAATCTTTAACTAATTAAGTATACCCCTAAATTTGAAACTCTGATACCGTATTAAACAAACTGCTAAATCGTTAAAACGCAAACTGTCAAGCAAATAAATTAGCAATAATCGCGATCTCTGGAACGTCAACAAGAGCGTGACGAGCGCAGTACATACTTTCTACAATTGTTGCTGCTATGTGGCGCTTGGTTGGTAGCGTGTGGGACTACTTGTCGTGCCTATATATATAAACCTCATTCCTCTCCATCTACCCAGAACCTGCAACCTCCCTAATATTGCCAGCTCGAACCTTCAAACCCCAAAAGCCTCTCTCTCTTTCTCTCATACAGAGAGACACAAATGGCACCAGCAGCAGCAGTATGTGTAATGGATGCATCAGGCCACGTAGGCGCCAGCCTCACAGAGCGCCTGCTGCAAAAGGGTTACACAGTACATGCTGCCCTTCAGAGGCATGGTGGGTTTTTAAATTTAGCTTAATGAAGCTTTTTACTTTTGTTTAGTTCTGGATTATTATCGTTAATTAACATTGTTCTTGGGGTGTGTTGATTAATTAGGGGAAGCGCGGTTGGGTGGGATTTGTTGTGACAAAACGAAGCTCAAAGTTTTCGATCTGGATCCGTTCGACTACCAGAGCATCCTCGACGCTCTCAAAGGCTGTTCCGGCTTGTTTTATTCATTTGAGCCTCCACAAGATCAGCCTGACTGCGATGTATGTACCTTCTTTCTCCCCAATTGACTCACTTGATAATCCTTTTGGTTTCGTTTTTTTAAGCTGAAAACTGAAAATAGTTTAGTAAAAGATGAAATGTTTAGTAAACGAACCCTTTTGTTAATCAACTGCACTAGAAATTCTGTGTTTAATTTGCTGATTTTCTCTATTCATTTTGTGTTTGTGGTGTTTTAAACCCTTTTTCCATAACAAAAATAAAAAAGATAAAAATAAAGAATAAATAACGGGAGTTATTATCAGCCGTCTAAACAAGTTATTATGAACAATTATTACATGATGATTTAGTGGTTGAGAACGAATTTCAGATTAAATTTGATTTCGACCTCTAAAACAATAAACTAACATAACCAAACCACTAACTAATCTTTTTTAACGTAAAGTTATTATACACTCAGACATTTTAAGATGATCACGTAATTGCCTAATGAAGTTGTCACTTCGTCCAAAAAAATAATGATTACGTAATTATTCTATTGAAATGATTGGAGGTGCTCTCTTGTGGCAAGAAAGAAAGTTTGAAAGTGATATATATCGTTTGCTTTTTCTAGATTTTGTATAGATTTTGTATATATCATGTGACCAATAAACCAATGAAAAGGAACATATTTGGTGAAAAAGAAATAAAGAGAAACTTTAATCTTTGCATTATAACAGATGCAGTTAACCTATCTCCTGGGTTTGGCCCTTATGTTTTTTTTTCTTTTAAATAGTAAACTGATTATTAATGATCAAATACGAGTCGGTACATTAATATCAGCACCTAGACTATTAAAAAGCTAAGTCGATACATTACCATCATCAGCTAGATTATAAACAAGAATACTATGGAGATTTTCTTTAAAGTGAGACTCTCTATGTACTTTCTGACACTTCATGTTTTTCGCATAATATTTTATAATATTAATAAGAAAATTGAAATTAAATTGTGAAGTAACAGAAAAAATATAAACTAAGCAGCTCCCAACTATCCTAGGGAAACACATCCTTATCTTCAAAGGACCTGGATTGTCTGCCCTCCATCATCTCATCCCCTTCTCATCCCTTTTTATTTTTGTGGTCACGGTTAAGACAAAAAACAATGAGAATATAAAATATTGACGTGGCTTAACTGTGACCACAGAAATAGGAGGAGATGGAAAGGGTATGAGATAAGGAGGGCATACAATTCACGTCCATCTTCAAAAACCATACACTGTATCTATATATCTATTTTTTAGTTTTTATTATTTTTTATTAAAATATCAACATTACCGGGAGGCGGAGGGAAATAGACGGTATGTTTTTTAATAATTAGATCAACGTAACACAATCAATCAGCCTCTTAAATTATTTTTCCACGAGAACTAGTCAAAAGTCCGACATCATACATTGATTATTTTCTCAGGTTTTGAATATTTTACGAGAAACCTTTTCAATGTACTGGGTTGGATTGAATCAATTGTGGAAATAAAAAATTCTAACAGTTATAAAAATCAAATATAACTGAAATATTTGTGGCACTCAATATTACGTAGGATTAAATTTACACCAGTTGTTATATATATGTTGCGTGCAGGAATACATGGCAGAAGTGGAGGTTCGGGCAGCGCACAACGTACTAGAAGCATGTGCAAGAACTGAAACAATAGACAAAATCGTGTTTACATCTTCCGCCGCTGCCGTCTGTTGGCGAAACGATCGCAAGTCGACGGCTCTCGATTTGGATTTGGATGAACGGCACTGGAGCGATGTCAATTTCTGTCGTAGTTTCAAGGTAAATACGGTATCTTTACAAATTTGTCAACCCATCAGTTAGTCCATTCCAACAAAAGAAAATAAAAAGTCGTTTAGTCAAGTGTGTTTGTAAAATGCTTCTACGTACATGTAACCGCAACAAAAAATTAAAAAAAAAAAAAAACACAGAAAAAAAAAACGAAGACTTTTTGGTACAGTGGGTTGGTGGCCCGTTGCGCAGCCACATCTTGGGAAACTAGGAATTCTGCCGCCACGCGCGTGGACCATTTCTAACTCTTGATGAGATGTGGTCGCCACATGCATTATTTGGAGATGAGGGTTCCATATGAAAATAATTGATATGTTGTTTATAGAGTTGATTTAGACATCGGGTTCAAGAAAATTAAAATCACTTACCGTTCAAATCTTAATCGAGCTGTTGAAGAAAACATATGTGAAAATTTATATATGAATTATTACTAAATATCACCGAGACTCAATAATAAGTTGTTAAGTTAGAAATAGTATTAGTGATATTAACTGTGTCATTCTACTTTTTGAACAAAAAAAAAGTGTTATTCTGAATAAATTTTTCAGTATGTAAGAAAAACGGGTCATTACACCAAATATCATATAATATAATTAGTTGATTTTTTTTTTAAGTTTCCAATCAATTGTAATATTATACTTCCAGACCGTGTTTCCAACACGTTGAAAAATTTCTCATCGTTTTCAACAGTCATAAATGATTCGTGACCCAATGTTGATCAGTAGTGGACATGGATCCTCTCCGGATCCATTGGACCTAATCCACCAAGTCACATCATCCGGGCCATTGAATTTTGATCCAACGGCTAAAGTTATTATAACTTTTAAAACGAACCCCATATCAGTAGTGGACATGGATCCTCTCCGGATCCATTGGACCTAATCCACCAAGTCACATCATCCGGGTTATTGAATTTTGATCCAACGGCTAAAGTTATTATAACTTTTAAAACGAACCCCTGTTTGTAGTTGTTGAATTAAATTTTTATGGTCCGGATGATGTGACTTGATGGATTATGACCAATGGATCTAGAAGAGATCCATGTCCATCAGTAATTAGAGTGTTGTGAGTAGGTAGGAATGTGATCCGATCCCACTTTCAACCTGAACCAACAAATGCAATGTGATCCGATCCCACTTTCAACCTGAACCAACAAATTACTAAACTTCACTTACCCATATATATATATATATATATATATATATTATATTTTTTTTTTTTTTTTAGGGAAACTTACCCATATATATTTGTTGTTGGACAGTTGTGGCATGCATTATCAAAAACCCTAGCAGAGAAGACAGCATGGGCCCTTGCAATGGACAGGAGCTTGAATATGGTGTCTATGAATGTAGGTTTGCTGATGGCTCCGGATTTGTCCATCACCAACCCGTATTTGAAAGGAGCAGCTGAGATGTACGAAGATGGCGTGCTCGTGACCGTCGATACTGATTTCTTAGTCGATGCACACATCTGCGTTTTTGAAGATGTCTCGTCCTACGGTCGATATCTGTGCTTCAACAACATCATCAATCGGGCTGAAGATGCTCTAGAGCTTGCTCGGAAGTTGACTCCTTCTGCCCCCTCATACCCACAAAGCCAAGATCAGGATATGAGGATCCCTCAACAGAGGATAAGCAACAAGAAATTAAATAAATTGATGGTGGAATTTAAGAGCAAATCTCAAGAGTGTTGAAGGGAGATTTGCTTATATTATATGTATGTGTGTGTGTGTGACATGTTGGTCACTTAAAGGCACATATTATTAAGAAAGCATGTTTTTGTAAGTGCTATATTTATTTGTGTGCTTAATAATATCGTTTGTTAAAATATATATATATATATATATATCTCATTTCTTTTACTTTGTTTGAAGCTGGAAATTTTCATATTGCTTGTGTTGATGCACAAAACTGGAGGTTTTGGAACAACGTAAATCCGACCATAAATCTACAAGAAAAGTAAAGAACACAAGATGTATCGTGGTTCACCCCAAGGTTTGGGCTACGTCCACACTGATATTGTATTTCTGAGGAAGAGAGAGCTCTGAGAGTGAGAGCTTTGAGAGGGGGTGAGAGGGCCTAGGAATTGGCCTCCCTAATTGTGAGGGTGATGAGGAGTCCTTTTATAGAATAAGGACTCCTCACTTATTATATATTTGCCCCTTCCTTTATCACATAATTACATTTAAGTCCTCCGAGTATTTGTACGAGATCTAAATATGGAGGCCCTAAGTATGATATAAACAGCTTGTTTTAGAAGTCAAAAGAATAAATTGGAGCATTAATTAACATCTGAATTATGACCAAATTGTAGCTTTGAGTTTTGAATTAAAAACCGATTAAAATTGATATACATAAATTCTTGCAAAGTTAGCGTGAAGGACTAATGTTCCACACTTTGTTAAACATGTATAAAGCTACAATTCAATCATAGTTTAAGAACTAATGCTTCAATTTTCCAAAAAATAAAAATAAATCAAAGTTTTTGTAAGTTGTAATGATGGCAAGGTCTCATTCATCTCTATTATATTTCTCCATGATTCAAAGTTCTAAATTCTTTGTTTAACTAATTAATTAGTTTAGCACTGTTGACAAATGTTAAATTTATGACATGTTTACTAACATGTAAAGAACATTGAAATGATTTCATATTGAATTAGAAAAATTATCATGTTGCATTGTAATTCCAACTGAATAAGTTTTCCACCGCTTTTGGTTACCTTAGGTCCCATATTGTTAGATGCCAACCACGGTTTTTGGGAGCCCTAAAGATTACTAAACACTAATTATCAATAAAAGGAGAATTAAAAGAAGTTTTAATTCAAAATGAATTAGTAAGAGTTCTAATTATCCACTTTCCTGCTAGTTAGAATCTAATTAGAATCTAATGAATCATATGCTGAGTAAGGTAGAGATTGAAAAAACTTAACTGAGATGGTTAACTACAGTTTAAATAATTTAATTGTTTAAGTTTGAGATAAATTAATAATTTAATTAATTAAACGAATGAGTCGAATTATGCTTCAAGGAAGCTTTGGGCTTCATTAGGCTCAGTAAACCAAAGTGTATGACAGCATGAACCCAAAAGGCCAAAAAACCCAATAACTATGGGGAGGCTGACCACATAGTTCTAGAGTTTATTCTTTAAATCACTAAAAATAGAAGAGTTATATAAGGGGGGTTATAAACTTATAATACTAGCCTTCTTTAAGGCTTTGTTAAGAGAACAGGAAAAACATCACTATTCTTTTCAAATGACATACGAACGACCATCAGGAGGAAGTTCACTATCATCAACTTCTTTCTAGATCAATCATCTCTCATTCATATCTCACCTTGATATGGAGAAATTAGAGGTCTCATTTCTTTGGGGCTTTCGAGATTTCTACACTAAAGGAGAAAGTAGCAAGGAGTGAAGGTCCTCTCTTAAATAAATACTTTGCAAATGCAAGTGCATATGCAAAGAGTGTTCTTCAAATGTATAACAACATCTTCCCTTTCTACTTCTTTTGTTTGATTCTTGGTTCACCAAACAATAGGCTTTGAAATGAAAACTATCAAGCTCAACCCATTTAATTTGAATTAAGCCACAACATATGTAGGCTAAAATATTTATAAGCATAGGGACATTTACACTTTTACCCCCCATTGCAAATGACCCATATATAAACTACTGGCGCTAAGCCACAATCATTACAACAACAACAATAACAATAACAAAGCATTATCCCACTAAGTAAGGTTGGTTGCATGAATTCTAGTACATTCTTCTCGGTTTTGCCCCGAGTCTTCTATTAGTTCCAAGTAATCCATGTCTTTTCTTAGAGTTTCTTTCCGAGTATTACTAGGTCTTCCTCACTCCTTTTATCCTGAGCCTCCATCTCATAATCTCAACTTCTAATAGGAGCATATGTAGGTCTTCGGTTCGCATGTCCAAATCACCTTAACCGGTTTTCTTTCATTTTATCTTCAACTGCGACCACTCTTACTTTACCTCGAATATCATCGTTTTTAAATTTGTCTTTTCTTGTGTGCCCACACATCCAATGAAACATTCACAATCCCCATTACACTCATTTTTGCATGTAGTGATACTTGACCACCCAATATTTTGTGCCATAAAGTGTTGCTGGCCTTATCGTCGTCCTATAATGTCACACTCCGATCTCTCAAGATACGTCTAAGGTCGACACGTGACGTCGGCACATACTTGTTCATCTATTATGTCTCGCCTCTGAGACATGAATAATACACAAATCATTGGTCCAAACATGTAGTAACTTTTCTTTTATCACATGCTACATCTAATCTTCCTGTTAAACTGCCTACTGAAATGAGATCAAGCCATTCTTAGTTCACCCTTCTTTTAAACTCTAAATTTTCTGAATATATTAATTGGCAAGGACATAAAGTTCCAAAATTACTCAATGAAAACAAATGAGTATGTCTCACTAGATTTTAGTCCACATAACAAGATCACATGAGAACTTGGGTCGTGAGCGAGTCGAGAGGGGTTCCAGGTCAACCGTCAAATGGTAGGTCTTCTCCTGCCTTCTTGGAGCCCTCCACATAAATAAATCCCAATTGATGGAAATGCCCTTGACTTTGTTCGCTAATTTCTCCTTTGTTACAATTTTGTTTTGCGAATAGTTTCGCCTACGCACTCGTGGGGTCGAGTTCTATTAAAAAAAAAAGGTGACCTCGAAAGATCTAGAAAGCTTTAATGAATATATCCAAAAATTCAAACTTTGTAACTAAAAAATTCTAAATTTAATGAAAATAAATAAATTCCCATAATTGTAAAATACGAAACATTGAATTGTGAAATCCGGGTACGGGGTTTGGTGATATACGTCGGTTGCACAATACTCCCGATGTACTTTTCCACTTCATCCATCTAGGTTGTATTTTATGGTTGAGATTTCCATCCAATTCTTTGCTCTTTTGCAAGATATATCCAAGATAACGAAAGCGCTCACTCTTTGGTACTTCATATCTGCAATCCTCACCCTTATCTCATTTGAACCCACATTCTCACCGAACTTGCACTCTATATACTCTGTCTTTGACCTACTTAGGCAAAGACCTTTATATTCCAACACTTCCCGCCAAAGGTTTAACTTCGCATTTACTCCCCCATGCGTTTATTTATCAGCACTATATCATCTGCAAAAAGTATAAAACAAGGGATATCATATTGAATATGTTTCGTTAACTCATCCATTACCAATGCAAAAAGGTCAGGACTTCAAGTCAATTTTTAACAGTGACATAAAAAATAGCAATAATTATAACTTATGTTTGTTTTGTGATTTTATTATTATTTTTACATATATACACAATAAAATTTCAGAACTTATAAGAAAATTCTTCTGTTAACATGTTTTTTGAAAGTAATTGTTAATGACCTTGAGACCGAAAAAATTTGATCGGTTGGTCGTCAGACAAATTGATCATCTAATCGCTTAAAAAACTTAATGGGTTGGAAAACGTGATAGAATTGAGCAACCATGTAATTATTTTTAATTATAGTAGTATTGATACAATTATTTTGGTTGACTTCTTCATTCGTATCTAAACTAAAAGTATGGTGTAATTGCTATAAGTTTTCTTAAAATTGGTATCTAAATTAAAAGAGCCCTTGATTCTATCTATCATGTGATCAAATATGACATTATTATATGCTATTCTCCTTACTCAAAACGTTTATTTTAGCCATCTGCATGCTATCCATGTGTTGTTAAGCTCATTTTTCGATTCATTTTATATAGAAAATTCAACGAATTTGAGTTGATTGTAATTTTAAATAAAGAACATATTTTCTTTTAAAGGAGATAAGAGTCAAACACTTAAGAAACATGACATTGAGCGCTAAATGTTTTTAACCAATTAAGTAGCAAGTAAAATAGATGACACATCCTGACCTAGGAAGATCGAAGCATGCTGGTCATCACCGTGATGTGACATAATCATAAGGGTAAGTGATATGATAAATGCTGCTATATAGTTGGGATATTACTGTCATGACATTCTCTTTGGTTTAGAAGTATGAATTTATCTACTGTTGTGTAATAAGTGTACTTAGCTACTTTGACTACTATGCGGTAGTCGTACTGTCTATTATGCTCTGAATAATTGTAGTGGGTTATTCCCACACTGACCATCACTGTGAGGTGACGTAACCATAAGGGTAAATGATGTGAAAAAGTGGATAAATTTAAAACTAATTAGAACTAATTATACTAAACAGTGAAAGAGTGAGCAATCGTGGGTATAACCCACTACAATTATTCAGAGTATAATAGATAGTACGACTACTGCAGAGTAGTCAAAGTAGCTAAGTACACTTATTACACAACAATGGATAAGTTCATACTTCTAAACCAAAGAGAATGTCAGAATTGTCGAGATTCCTCAAATGCCACAGAGAGTACAACTATCTAGGTCCTGGAGGGGGCGAAAAACAAAGTTGAGTGGATCAGTAAAACAATGCTCATACGAAAACCTTTATTTTCGAATATAGTAACCCCTCGCCGTAAAACAAGTACAGTTTCCTTAAAACATACTACGTAGGTATGTAAACAACAATAACAACAATATAACCAGAAAATATGCCAAGTCATGATATATCAATGCCACAACAATAAAAATCATGTGATAATCAAGTATAGTTAAGTGCTCATCATCTAAGCTGACACACGAGTTCAAGCAGATAATCTCTGACATGAACATGACTGGGTGTAATCAATACGTTATAGTACTACAATCATGTGAAGGTTGGTGCAGAAGCACGGTCACATACTAGTCGGATTGCTTAATGCAATCTGCTCGACAAGACTGTCACCTAACTTGGATCCAAGGTGAGTGAACGGTACGATGTGAACATACATGTGAAGGACTGGCCCTGGCCCTGGCCCTGGAGCGAGTACTAACACCGGTGCAGCAAGATGATCATGTACAAATATGTATAAATGTCATGACAGTAATATCCTAACCATATAACTGTATTTATCACATTTAATATCATAATAACGAATACTTGGAAAATATAAGCGTAAAAATGAAGTAACTACGCATTTAGGGAAACTATAAATATGTATAGGTATTAAATAAACTGCCCACTCACAAGTACGTTGCAAGGTCGTAGCCCCCGAGTCTAGCCTGGCCTCGTACGTCTTCTGGATACTTTCCTCTATATGTGAAATAACTATAATAGAATTAATTAAATCACATATACAGAAACTTAAATAAAACCCCTATAGTTTACTCAAACCTAGGGTTTAAATACATGAAATCAATCTACTCGACGTCACGAAGCTACACAAATTTTCAGATAAATTTTGGGGCCTTGGCCATGCCCTAACGGTTTTGTTTCTGGAAACTCACACTAGAACTTCCCAATGTCACCCATCATAGGAATTGCTCTCGCCCGAACTCGCTTAACTTCGGAGTTCCGATGGAATCCAAAGCCAATGAATTCCCAAAAGGCCTCGTGCTATATAGAGGTGGGCATGTACATATAAGGCACATCACCCCCTCTTCGTTGGTCGATGTGGGATGTTACAATCCACCCCACTTAAGGGGAACCCGACATCCTCGCCAACACATCCGCACTGAATGACAGAGTGGCTCTGATACCAAATTGTCACATCCCACATCGACTAACAGAGATGGGGTGATGTGCTGTACATGCTCCCCTCCCTATAGCACGAGGCCTTTTGGGAACTCACTGGCTTCGGATTCCATCGGAACTTCAAAGTTAAGTGAGTTCGGGCGAGAGTAATCCTAGGATGGGTGACCCACTGAGAAGTTCTCGTCTGAGTTCCCAGAAACAAATCTGTGAGGGAATGGTAAGCCTAGAGCGGACAATATTGTGCTACGGCGGAGTCGAGACTGGGATGTGATAATAGATGCTTTTGATTGTCAAAACTAAAAGTATAAAGGCAATAATGATACCAGAAAAGTTATTGTGCTCCGTATGTGAGAGTTATTATCTCCTCTTATGGGAGCTTTTTCACCGTCATGTGAGTGTTTTTAGTTTTCATCAACCACGTCGCTGCCAAACCTAGATGTGGCCATGATCAGTGACAGTCCTTCCCTGTTATTTATCTTGTCTTTCTTTTCTCTTTTTGTTTCCTTCTGCTTCTTTTTACCTTTGTCTGCCATGCCATCGCCCTTGCTATTCAGCGTTAGACCCATTTTCGATTTGCATGTCTTTCATCTAAACCCTCAACCCCGATTTCTTCTTTCCTTAAATCCTTGTTGTCCATCCACATCCATGTCTCTCATCGATCATCCTCAATTTGAATCTTCCATTTTCTCCACTCCCTTTCCGAGTTGGCTCCGTCCTTCATCATTTCAACCTCAAATTTGATCTGCAATCATTCTTCTTCACTGTGCTTGGTTGTGATTTTTCCAAAAGGTATGTAAAGGTCCGACACAAGTGTATACACCACCACCTTCTATCTATTTGCGTTTATTGACATTGTCGCTGATGGGTTGTCCACTAGCTTCTTTCGATCCGTGGTTGTGTTTGGTGTGGTGTGCAATACAGGATGTTGGAGTCTCCATTTTCCTCTTCTATAGGGTTTGGATTCTTGGTAGTGGTCGAGGGTGTTGGATCGTGCTTGTGGAGATGCTTTGTTTAAGCAGTGTCAGTGTTTGCAGAATGCTAGGTTTTTTGTTTGGTGTGTTTTTGTTTTCGGGCTCCAACTTGTGTGTTTGTGCCCTTTGTTGTGTTGCTTAATTTGGGTTTCATTTCTTTTGATGTGCTTAACTTGTATTTGGACCTCTTGTGTATAGTTATTTAGTCTGGTAATAAAATTTACTTTTGTCCAAAAAAAAAAAAATTATGTCAAACCAAATTGAAAATTGAGTAGAAATGAGCAAACTAATGTCATCTCATCTCTACTAATTAATAAAACACTCATTGTCAACCAAAATCCTATGAAATTATCAATTTAACCCTCTAATTAAGAAATATGGGGTAGAAATGTAATTTCACACAACCAAATTTTGTTGTTTTTTTTTCAAAGTATCACCTACATGTAATCCTAGCATATCTCTAATTAAAAAAATAAAAAAAATAAAAAAAAACTTCCCACTCCCACATTCTCAATCACTCTCTTCCTCTCTCATTCTATTTCAAAAACAAAAATAAAAAATTTTCTCACACTCTGGGTGTGCCCATATGCTAGTATCTAATAAAATAACAACATGAGTAAGTTTTCGTGTGTCCACAGTTACTATGTTGTCTCTTTTCAATAAAATAAAAATATTTATAAATTTTTTAATACAAAACATTGAATTATTAGATTAAAACGCTCTGTGACGATAAATTCATTTTATATAAATTGTTCTGTGTAATCAGCCCAAAAGAAATGTAAAAATTCAGAAAAACCAACTATTTTACATTTTCCTGAAAATCTCCTACAACACAAACGCACGCTCAGGATGTCTTCAGTGGTAAAAGACAAAAAGTTGGAAAATAAAATAGGAAATGACTGGAAATGGTTAAAAATGGAACAAAAGTATAGAATCTCGTCCAAGTCTTTCCTCCAAAAATTACAACGTTTAATGTGAAAATTAGGGAAATCTCCTCCTCCTCTTGGGGGCTCTCTGAATCAAATCTATATCTAAATTCTCATTCTTTCTTTCTTCGTTGCCTCATTAATTTCATCGCTCCTATCAATTTCTCTACCACTTTCCCTTTATTTATGCACTTTCCCATTTTGCTCTGGCAATTATCTTTTGGACATTTTGAGGCTGTAGATCCAACTGCAATTCCAACTTGGTAAAGTCTTTCACTTTCCTATGTCTCCTATTTGTATCTTGCTTTGATCTCTTGTACTTGTTGTTGTTGTTGTTGTTGTTGTAGTAGTAGTAGGTACTTGTTATTTTCTGGGGAAGTTTCATAGCTAAAAGCTCTGTAATTTGTGTGTTAGATGTGTTTTTGAAATATACCCATTTCCCAATTGTTGTTTTTTTTTTCGGATTTTCAGAATTATTTTTTTATAGAATTTTGGTGAATTCAGCTTGTGGGTATTTTGGTCTTAGGGTTTTTGTAGAGCAGTATTGTTTTGTTTCAAGCATCTACTTTGTTGTTGAGGAATTGTACTTCCAAATTCAAATGGATTATGGTAGAGAGAGCAATGCGGTCCAGGTAATCACTGGGAATAGTGGTGGTGATATTTGGTCTGGTGACCAAGCGGTTTGGGCTACTGAGGATGAGTACCGAGTTTGGAATAATGGTGACGCGATGGCGGACACCATGTCCAACTCAAGTTATGATCAAAGGCAATCGCAAAGTCACTCTGGAAGCGAACCTCCAAATAAGAAATCAAGGAACTCCCAAGATGCAACTTCATCTAACCGGTCGAAAGCCATTGGGAAAATGTTCTTCAAAACCAAACTTTGTTGCAAATTCCGTGCTGGGACGTGCCCCTATGTCACCAATTGTAACTTTGCTCATAGCATTGAGGAGCTTCGGAGACCGCCACCAAATTGGCAAGATATTGTGGCTGCCCATGAGGAAGAAAAGGCTGTATCTTCAGAGCCAAGGGAAGAGTATCAAATTCCAATCGTCTCTACAGGTTATGGTGTGGAGACTCCAAGATCCTATAAAGGGAGGCATTGCAAAAAGTTTTATACTGAGGAAGGGTGTCCTTATGGGGATAATTGCACTTTTCTACATGATGAGCAGTCCAAGAATAGAGAGAGTGTGGCAATAAGTTTAGGTCCTGGAGGGTATGGTGGTGGTGCTGCTGCTGCGAATGGAGCAAGTAACAAGCCATCAAACTGGAAAACAAGGGTTTGCAATAAGTGGGAATTGACAGGATATTGCCCATTTGGAAGCAAATGCCATTTTGCTCATGGTGTAGCAGGTATGATTTATATACTTTTTCATAGAGCTAGCCGTCTTGCTTATGCTTCCATTCTAGGACTTAAGAAATACTGGTTTCAGTTTCTTTACATGGATGCTTGATGTTCTCAACTTCCGTTGTCCCAAATAAGTAAGACATTGAGCGAACTCTAAATAATTGTTGTAAAATTATAATTTGATACATCATTTATGTCCCACGCCTGTTCTTGTTTTGCTCTTGATTTTGAAAAGTACTTGAGTATGTTAAGTGATTCAATTATGATCAACTACTATTTAAGTTTATTTTCCAATAGTTTCAAAATCATGGTACTGGTTTACTTTTTGTTTTGGTGCATCATTAACAAAGACTTTGTTACCTGTGTTCCCCCCCCTGTAAAAAGGAAACATTAACACAGGAATGTTTCTTTTAACAAAAGAATGTTTCTTTTTCATCATAAGACAAAGATGCTTGTCAACACCTTTCTTTGTTCTGTTGTCTTTCATTGAGAGCCTGGGAAAGCCCAATTCCGATGTTAGGACAGAGGTTCTGGATTGCAAGAACATAAGACTTTATTCGAAGCTGCTCATCCCGTCTTTTATTTGAGCCAATCTATAGTGGAATTTAGAGGAATTGTTTCCGTAGCAGAAATATGCTGTTGAATTATTGCTTACTTGTTCACCTGTGTTATTGATTATGACAGGAAAGAGTGAACTCATTATGGTGGTGGGAAGAAATCTCCCATAAGCTCTTCAATCTTTCATTTTTCTTAACCATCCATGGCCTTGAACCAAGATGTTATTGAAGTTGCCTATGCTGATTTGGACAACTGGATGGTTTGTCCGTTTCTTAATTATTATTATAATTTACATGGGTATGATTAGAGAATACGAAGGAAGAAGGTCAGCTGAATAATACCCTTCGGATTCCAGCAGCGGAGTCGATGTTACCATCACTAGATCGAACAATCAGCAAGTCATCAGGGGGGGTCTAGGGCTGTTCTCCAACCCACTGAAAAACCTTAACAAAGAGGCTGGTACAGAACAATCAGTCCAAAAGAGGCTTACATCTAACTAAGAAGGCCACTCGTATTATGATAATCATTAATAAGAGCATCTTTTATTGTAGGCTAGGGAAGTTCCTAGTTAGAAGCTCTATTCCATTTTTTTCATTGCTTGTTTAAAACATACCACCTGAGCTTCCATAAGTTTAGAAGAAACAAAGCTTCAACATAATTAGCGGTAGAGAATGAGATGGTGTATCGACTCTACCCTGCTGACGCAGAGATAGTTGTGGAATTCTTATTGTCTGGATCTGCCCCTGAGCATATATATGTGTGTGTTTATAATTTGTTTCTTAGATACTAACAAACTTATGAGAAGAAGACAGATGTTATTAGTAATATTCTTTTTTCTTTTTAGGGAAGTGTTATTGACACTTCAAAAATCTCATTCTACACTCCTTACAAGTGTATTTTTCTTTCTAAATCTTGAAAGTTTGGAGTGTAGAATGAGAATTTTGGAGTGCCAATAACAATTCCCTCTTTTTATTCCTCCTATTTGAGAGGACATTGATGTGGGCTTTATAAACAAACATAAGCGATATAAGTTTCTAACTCCAATCATGTCTATAACGAGGGAGAAGACAAATCCACTCTCTCTAGTGTCTTCAGTGGAAATTTCTCAGAAACATGGGGCGTATTCCCACTGTTAATGTTTAAAACAAATATTGGCTTCACATCCTAACAGCTTAAAGTTTTGGGATCTGGTTGTCTAGCATGGTATCAGAGCATCGGTAGTCAGAGGTCCTTGGTACAAAATCCAATCCCCATTCTCAGTTCATTGTAGGATTACAAGGTGCAGAGTGGGACTGGACCTGTATGCTTCTGTCTCTGAATACCTCTGCCTCTCCACGTGCAGAATGGGCTTGCACGTGAGATGGGTTAGTTTATTTACATTCCTAAGAACTTAAGGTTTTGGGAATAGTGGTAAACCAACAATGTATATCACCTGACCAGCTATACAGATGGGGATACAGATGGGGATAAATTCAAATTAGGGACAAGCTTAAGAGGATGTGGCCAGCCCACACTTTTGAGCTGATCAACTTTTGGTCATTGGTGGTTTGACTTGTGCATCAAAATCTAGGCAAAATCCTGCATCTTCCACGAGAGGAGGCGCAGATGGAATTTACCCACAAGATATAAAGCTTAAGCAAGGATCACGTAGATGCATACTATTGTTGTACAACTTGATCTAGTTTGGCTACGCTGTGCTGTTACTGTTGTATTATGAGCTTGTTTGGCAGTTATAGTAGATAGTGCATTTGTTTGTTTACTTGTTTTCTCTAAATTTTAGTTTATTGGCTACTGACATATCGGTGCAAGTTCTGGCCAAAAAATGAAAGAAAAGAAAGTGTTCATACAAATTTGCATGGTGATATTTCTGTTAAGTTCACAAGTCTTCACACTTAATTGACAATAAATGCAAATATGCTCTTATGCGAAAGCACTTGACATCATCTGTTGGATTTAAACTTTTCTGCCACTGAAGAGTAGCATGCTAATATACTGTCTGGAACATGGATGATTTGTCTCCTGCTATCTGAGGATTGTTTTTCTGTTTTGGTTTGAGCGTGTGCAATATCTCTCATGACTAATCGTATAATGATTTCAGTATCTGACTTTGATATTTTGAAATTCTGACTGCAGAATTACACCGGTATGGTGGTGGGCTTGTGGAGGGAGAAACTAGAGATTCTTCTTCAGTTGCTCCTGACAATAAGCAGGGAGCAATGCTTTCGAAAACTCCAGGAGATGCTGTGGTAGTATCAGTTCCTCTAGTTTCTCATTCTGATGTTTATCACCTTGGAGTCCCGTCACAAAGATCATCCATTGTAATTCAGAGATCAGGGCCGCGAGCCCATCAGAAATGGAAGGGACCAGACAAAATCAGTAGGATATATGGTGACTGGATTGATGACATCGAATAGAATTTGGGATTGCTCGCCCGCAATGCAATGCGGTCGCTTACATTATCCTTCCTGGAATTAGATAGAAAAATAGATACCTAGTCTTTGTTAGAGATTACGGTATCATCATGTAACTGTAACTTTTCTGTAGAAGTTTCTGTATCCTCGCTTCAAGTTCAGGTTGATGCCGGGCGTGTTAAGTCACGTCCCATGTGTTTATTTCATGTGAGAATTTTGTTGTTACAGATAGAACTTGAAGCTTTGTATCACTCTCCTAGTCTTAGTATCGACCGGTTCTTGTTACCATATATAATTATGTGACAGACACTCGTTGTCCGGAAGAGACGACGGTCCTTAATTTATAACACTTTGTTCGAACTATCAGTTAAATAAGTTATTTATCTTGCATTCCCTATTCTCGAATTAGTCATAATATTTGTATCTAGTCTTCTTGCCTTTCGAGGTTCTTTCTTGCTGTTTGAAACTTTATTCTCTCAGATGACTTGCATAATAACATAAGATGACTGAGTCTGTCTGTCTTGCTTATTCGATGAATGGGTAGGCGAGATTCGAATTTGGGACTTCTTGCAAAATTGTAAAGAAAAGTACTGCCACTGCACCAAGAGCCAAAGATGGTGGTGCAACATATTGGCTGTTTTTGGTGTATATATAGGGTCAGGATTGGGTGGCACAATTTTACTCACATTTTGACACACGATTCTCATTTCGTAAATTTTTTAAGGATCTGAACCATTTATATTTTAATTCATCATTTATAAATCATCCTTGCAAAAATTAGACAAATCTCAAATTATTAAGACATTAATTTATAGTGAAGAAAATAGACGAACACGGTTTTACAATTAAACACTAAAATGATTACCATTTAATCCAACATTCATATAAATTCGGGTTTGAGTGATTTATAGTAGAGATGATATCTGAAGGAAGACCTAAAAAATTATGAAATGGGAACTACAAGTCTACAAGAAAGAGTGAAAAATGTGTGTTAGAAAATGTGCGTGTGTGTGTATATATATTGGTGGGATTTGGTGATAAATATATTGGTGGTTTGGAATAATAGTGAAGAGAGTAATTAGTTGAGCCCCATCCTTCTCACAAGGACTCGCTCAAATTAAGCTCAGAAGTTTTGGTTCTTCTTACCAGAGACTTCCACATCACCAACATTCCAAATTAAGGCAACAATTTTGTGTGCTCACAAAACACGAGGAGATGCATTGATAACATGCATGCCTCCTTGTTTCTCTCTTGCCAATGACTGACTGGAGAAAGCAATCCAACACACACAAAGTCCGATCCCAACACCAACACAAACAACATCACACTCTTCTCCTCGTAGCTTCTTCTCGTCAATATTACTATTACTATTATTGTTGTTTTCCGTCGTCTCGGAATATCCATGCACTAGGGCTGGCCGGAAGTGCAAGCCGATCTCCGGCCACAAGGTTAACATCAAGGTATTGCCGCTCAGTCTTCTTTATGCAGGGAATGTCATCATCGACCACGAATACAAATTACTCCCCAGTACCTCAACATGCCGCCTCCCCTCCAATTATCATCCTTCTGACCGTCCTCCTTGTCTTCTTCTTTGCGGGTTTCTTTTCTATTTACTTTTGCAAGTGCTTCATGGATCACATCCTTGCCTCCTTTCAGAGCACACCCTCCGGAGATCTTGTGGGCACGGCGGTTGTACCCAAAGAAGGCCTTGACGTTTCACTCATAGAATCATTTCCAACATTTGAGTACGCAAGTGTCAAAGATTTTCGAATAGAGAAGTACGGCCTAGAATGCGCAATTTGCTTGGTGGAGTTTGAGGACGATAGCATACTACGCCTCTTGACCGAGTGTTGCCATGTTTTCCACAAAGATTGCATCGACCTTTGGCTCGAGTCTCATAAAACTTGTCCATTTTGCCGTGGAAATCTCGAAGTAGTAGCCCCGAGTTTAGCGGACAAGTCTCCGGTGCTTGCTCATGAGAACGACGCCATGCAAGACATTCATGTTGGGCATGAATCAGTGTTGTTGGATCTGGATGCTGTCCGCATCGACATTAAAGATGAACAAAGCCAAGATCATTGCCATCAAGGAAGTAATGACAGTAGTAATAACATTATGGTTTCACAAGGTGAACAAAATAGCAGTAGCACTACTCAAGATCGAGATCGAGATCAAGATCACAATCAGAATCATGATCGAAATGAAGAGAATGAAACCGAAAGATTTTCACGGTCGCATTCAACGGGGCACTCCATAGTTAGGCCTAGAGCAGAAGAGGATAGATATACGCTGAGATTGCCAGAGCATGTGAAGATAAAACTTATAAGAGGACATCATAACTGGACAGGAAGCTGTACTACATTTGGGGAGTTCTCTCGCCAAGGAGACAATGCAGGTGCTTCCCGCTTTGGAGAGGCCTCCGGCTCCGCCGGTGGAGGAGATATTAACAAATTAGCTTCTGTGTTTTAACTATTTTTGTTTATTTTCTTTAAAGTTTTCCATTATTATTAGTTTTGTTCTTGTATTTCCCAAATACATACATTAGGGTGGGTAGCTAGCCATTTAGATGCTACCGCAATGCATTTTAGTCGGTTTTTCATAGCTCATTTGCTCTTAATTACCTTAGTTTGTTGCTTATCATCTTGCTAGATCAGGAATTACCGAGATGGTACGAGCCCTAAAAACATCTAGCAAATCATCTTTCAAATGGCATCTAATACAAGGGCCACGAAACTCAAGGCTGCTTCCTAGATCAGCAAGAAGGTCTGGCACCATATTACATTCTCTGTCGATATGTTGAATAAGAGATGCTAAGGAGACTCTCTCAAACGTCGGACTCTCCATAGGCTCTCTGCCACCTTAAATTTTTTGCACAATATTTTATAATGTTGACACAAAAATTAATGATAAACTGTGAGGTGACGTAGAATTCTACTTTGAAAAAGTCTCCTTAACATTTCCTGTTGAATAGTGCAGTTCCATACGTGACTAATATAACCTTGACATCCCAATTTGAAAGCTGCTCTTGATTAGAAGCACAACATTCCCATACCTTGACTTCAAGCACTTGTCGAACGTCCAAGTTTAACGCAAAAACAATGACCTAGTCTCAAATATTATTTTTAAGGACTCAACATGCTGCAATAATCTCATCTTCCGTCTTCTTGCAACCATCTGTAAATTCACGACCAATGTACTAAGCAATTGAGAATAAGTTTTATAGTCTTTAAAAGGAATCATGTCTTTAAAGAGAGATTGCTTAGGGGTTTGACATTACTCACGACACCTTAATTATGTGATTGAGAGTATTGTTAAAAAAAGGTCGTATTTTATTATAGGGTTATCCTCACGTTACTACCCTCAAGTATCGTGAAATTCACACTTTGCTGTTCTTATTTTTTTTCCGTCTTAGTTTCATGCCTAAACTTTGATTTTTCTGACACTTTAATACCTCCGTTTTAGGTTTTCCGTCAAGTTCTTTGTTAAGTGATGATGCGATATAAGTTTTGCCCATCATATTTGTCAAGAATTAGCACTATACACGGTGGTTGAGATTTACAAGAGGGGCCTTTTTGTTAAGCTCGAAAAGAAAATTTAATGGGCTTTTTTCCTAAAAACATAAAGGAACTATTATTTGCACTCAAAAAATCTAATTGTGTTCTTCATTTTTACTTTTCACACACTCCTTTTAATTTTTGACCGTCGAATCGGATGAATTGAAGAATATCAATCATTGTGTGGAAGGTAAAAATAGGGTGGGTAGCGTAATCATTTTCAAAAATAATATTAATAATAATGGGCCAAAATTGAGCCCAATGGCTATGCATGTAAATTGAAGAATAGCAGTAGGATAATTTGGGACAAAGAAGAATCGTAAAACCAGTTAGTGAGACGCAAACCTCTGCCTCCGGCCAGCACAAAATCCTCCGGCGAAGTTCACCTCTATTCTCTTTCATCCATGGATTCTCTTCCCAACACCTTCAATCCAAACAAACGTCTCAAAGAAGAGTTAATACTCTCTCTCTCTCTCTCTCTCTCTCTCTAACATCCTCTGCTTCACCAAACTGTGTTGATTTAATTTAACTTTGTTTTTGCGGAATTTGATGAATTTTCAGGTTTGTGAGCAATTTGAGTGGATCGTCGATGATGGAGATTGCCGCGCTTACCACGATAATCCCTGTAAATATAGCCTAATTTCAGACTTCCATTGTTCTTTCCGTCTAGCATTTCTTAAATTTAGAAAAAAATGCTCATGTGTTTATACGTTGTTGTCAGATTCTGATACTTCTCCGGCACTCAGTTGGCTCTCATCGTGCTGTCGGTAAGCCAGAAGGACTTTTGCTTTACCTATCTAACTTTTTTTTTCTTTTTTTTTTCCTTCTAATTTATTCTCAACTTACCAAAATATGGTCTTGTAATTGTTTGGTTATTGAACTAAACATTGCTTCTGTAAACTTGTTGTTGGTGTTGGTGTTGGTGTTGTTGTTGTTGCTGCATTCCTGTGTGTGTGCGCGTGTTAGCGGTCACAGTTTGGCACCAAAATGGAGTAATTTAATTTAGCATTTGTACCGGATCCCTTCACTTTACCATAAGCTTCTCATCCCCAAGCTTGTTTGATGTGCATTGCAGCTAATATGTTTGTGTTTCTGATATTAATCATTTTCATGTGATTTTTTGTCTGATATTAATCTTTTTCATGTGATTGTTTTACCAATAGATGTTGTATCGAAGAAAAATGATGATGCAGTAGCTGGTTCTAAGGGATGGGCAGCTTACATGGCTTCAATGTCTCTTGATTTTCTTCTCATTATAGTTCCAATCATCTTAGTTTACACTGTAAGTGTTCTTTACTTGACTAATTATAAAAACTAGGAAGGATCCAAGTGGTAATCTTTGGAGTGGAGACTGCAATCCTTTTTTCCCCACTACTTTTTAAGCTTCTGTAAGCAGGGCTGTTGCCCATGAATCGTCAAAGTGTCTTAACCTTTATAGTTTCTAACTGTATATTCTGTAGATGGGTCTCCTGTTGTGGTCACATTATTTCTTATATAGGGATACATGTCCTATAATATTTACTATGATCATAACTCATGTCAGGTTTTGGCAGAGTGGATGTATATCTGGGCAACTTTGTTGATATTGTTACTACTTTTCAGTATTGCAGCCAAAAGGTAGTATGATACTGCTTTTAGTATTCCCCTCATCACGAGGAGTCATTCATGCCATGTTCACAATGCTAGAAGATGTTTGAATGAGTAGCAGAGCATTTTTATGCTTGGATATAGTATACTAATTCACAGTTGCATGCGGTTAAATGTAGGTTTGGTTCCTATTCTACTTTGAAGGAAGATCCCTTTTCTATAAGGCAAACTTTTTCATCTTACAGAGTCGCTACGGTATGCAGTTTCACTTAGGTCTGCGTAGTTTAATTTTTTACTATAAAAACTTTCCTGTAACTTTTACAATTTTTTCATGTGAACAAAAGTAATTGCTGCAGATGATCATAACATGCGTCTGTATCTTGGCTGTTGACTTCACAATATTCCCTAGAAGATATGCCAAGACTGAGACTTATGGTACTGGCTGGGTAAGAATTTGCAAGCAATATGGAACGCAATTGTAGTCTTCTTAAGCCTATTGTTGTAGTGTCATTACAGTATATCTTGTACCACCTTACTCTTCAAATTGAGAAGTCAAATAACATATGTTTAACATCTGTTCGATTACCATCGTTTTCTTCTGGGTTGCCATCAACTGATGAGTAGTTTCCAATCTGCAGCGAACTTTTAATTCTGTCTGAATTTTGTTTGATAGCAATACCCTCTTGAATAATTCTTTCATTATTTATCAATAGCCAATATAGGACAAGACTTAGGGACGCAATCATAAGTTACTGACACTCACTGGTTCTCTGGTACTAGTTCCAAGTTTTGTTTGAAATGAAGAATTGTGGAATTACTTTGGATCATATTCTTTCTATCACTTCTTTTTCTTCTTTATTCCTGTGCCCTTATATTACTTTCTCTTAATTTATATTTTGTGATTTAGATATTCTGTTTTCTTTGAGACCTACGTCAAATGTGCTGAACATAAACATATCTACTCAATCAATATCTGTTGAGGAAATTAAATTGAGAAATGACCTCTTTTAAATTTTTTCCATACATGAATATGTCAGATGGATCTTGGGGTTGGCTCATTTGTCATAGCAAATTCATTAGTTTCCCGGCAAGCACGAAATATATCATCAAGGTTAGTCATTTATAATTTTGTTGTTTTGGATGTAACCATTGTTCTAAAAATCCCCACCAAGCGCCGCCTAGGCGCTAGGCAGCTGGTCACCGCCCCGATTAATGCCTAGGCGTTTGAAAATTAAGAAAGGGCGTCTAGACCTGCTGAAGTGCCCGCCTAAACCGCCTAGGCGCCCGCCTAGACCGCCTAGGCGCCCGCCTAGCCCGCCTAGATCTGCCTAGATTGTGACTCACTTAGACAAAAGATAGATAACTTTCATTTTGCATTTTATTTTTTTTCAATAAATTGCAAGAGACTTGTTGAATACTTAAATGAATACACATTATATGCTTGTTCCCCATGTTTTCATTATGTTTCAATACTTCATAATATATATATTATTCTATTTTGTAGTTTATGATGAAATTATATATATTATAGGGTTAATCTCAGTTTACTATCCTCAAGTTTTGTGGGTTTCAACATTTAGTATATGAAGTTTTTTTCGTCCCAGAGTCATACCTAAAGTGTTAATTTTAGGATAGTCTCATATATCCATTAGTTTGGATGTTAAGTCTTACGTTAACTGATGACGTGACGCCCATGTGGACAATGACTGGGCACCACGTGTCATTAAGTAGTCCATGTGGAAATGAAAAAATTAAAAATTAAAAATTAAAAAACATTTAAAAAAAAAATCTTTTGGGCCATCTCATACCTTCCCCAACCCTCCCTCCCTTCTACCTCCCTTCTCTCGCACCCTCACTCCCTCACTCCCCTGATCCCTCCCACTCCTCCCTCCGCCTCCCCGACCCACCTCTTCCCTCTCCTCCACCCTCTTCACCTCCCCTCCCTTCTCTCTCGTCAGATCAACCCAATTTAAAGTTTAAAATTTAAAACCTAAAAGCAGAAACCCCAATAACCCAACGTCCAAATTATCACTTTGAACGTTTGGAAGGTGGAGGGATCGCTGAGCTTGACGCTGGAGAAGTTGTTGAGCTGCTGGGCAACCACGAGGACGCCGTGCGCCGCCAAAAACGTAGATCTACTGCCACGGCTGCTCTTCCAGTTCCATCCGTTGAGAAACATACCCATAACTTCGAATCCCGAAACCAATGAGGACAAAGAGTTGTTGGAATTGGCCCCGGCTCCTTCCCCCACTGTTTCCTCCTGCTCCTGCGCTGCCACCGCCATATCCGCTGGAAAAGAAAGCTCTGGCTTTTGGGATGAAAAGGAAAGGGTTTAGGTGCATCTTATCTTTTTCTTTTTTTATTTGGAAAAAAAAAAATTGAAGAAAAAAAGGCTTTGAATATCGTATTGAACGTGCACTTGATTTGATTTGGTGTGTGTTATTCTTTGAGATGAGCCGAGAAAGATGTTCTCCTCGCTATCTAATGCCGCAATTTCTATGTGGTATTTGGACGTCAGAAAACTTAATCCAATCTCCCACTTCCTTTCTTTTTTATTCGAAGCCCTGCCTACCCACATCTTGAGTCCCCGTCGATCTGCAGCTCATGTAGACAATGATTGTGGTGGTGCTGATTTTCAGATCAGCTTTGGTGGCTGTCGAAGAGAAGAAGAAAATGGGTTGGTGCAGGTGGAGGAAAGGGAAGTCCCGCATCCCTAGGTCATTTTTCATTTGTTTAGTTTTTTTAATTTTTAATTTTTTTTAATTTTTTTTTTAATTTTTAATTTTTTTAAATCTTTTGGTTTTTTTTGAAACTTTGGTGTTTTTTTTTTTGAATTTCCACGTGGACCCCTTAATGACACGTGGCTCCCAGTCATTGGCCACATGTGTAGTATTCTCCTGTTGTTGTGTGAAAATATGATGTTGATGGCATGTTGTCTGTTTATGCTTGTTAAGGTCATGGAAGACTGCTATTCAATCTGCTAGTCCACTAATCATCCTTGGGTTTGCCCGTCTTCTCTCTACCACAGGTGTGGACTATCAGGTAGGTTTATCATGTTATCAGGTCAATTTGGTATGTTCACTGGTGTCATGTCTTGTTTTCAGTTTAAGTCAATTTCACAATGAAGGGTGACCACTCCATTCAGCTTCTATTGTAACAAGTCAGTCCATCTAAACACTGATGTTTATCGTGGTCATGTCAATACTTTAATGTGTTCAATAGGTTGTTCAATGCTGCATTAATCTCTTTTTGATCCATTAACTGAATACACACACACACACACACACACGTATATTATATATTTTTATGCTTTTCCTGATTTCCTTATCAGCTCTTATGTTTCCGCTTTGTCATGTTATGTTTACACATTGTAGCTTCATGTGGCGGAATATGGAGTGCACTGGAATTTCTTCTTCACGCTTGCTGCGATATCAATTCTTACATCCATAATTAATATTCCCACGCAGTATTCTGGCATTCTTGGCTCACTAATTCTAGTAGGTATAATCGTACTGTACAATGTTATTTTTGGTGTATGTGTTATATTACTTTTATCCTTCGAGTAGATGTAAGTTATAGTCTAATTGGTTTTTTATCCTCCAGGTTACCAAGTTTGCTTGATGCATGGGTTAAACTCGTATCTGCTTTCTAATGAAAGGGGAACTGATATAATCAGCCAAAATAAGGAGGGGTTTTTTAGCATATTTGGTAAGTGCTTGAGCTTGAATACCTTTCATGCTTATTTGATCTTTTGAATAGTTTGGACTCTCCGTCAAGTTCAAAGGACAGGTTTTCTTGGTACATCAATAAAAAAAATATGGGATTCATTTATTTAATCAAGTTGTTAAATGTTCTCATGACTGAGTTTCCTTAACGAAGTATACATTCTTTGGTTTGGTCATAAACTGACATAGGTTGGATGATGTAAGCGATATGTGCTTCCCTTTTCATAATGCTATATCATAGCAAGTAATTTCGCAGAAGAAAACATCAAATGTGTTCCATTTTAATACTTACTTTGGCCCAAGTGAAGTAGTAGTATTAAAACCAAATTGAATGCTGCACCCAGATTACTTTTTAGGAAGAGCCAACACTAAATTGTAATCTCTGCATATATATATATATATATATAATATAATCAGGGGCGAATCTTATTAAGGGCCAGAGGGGGCGCGTGCCCCCCTCAAATTTTTGGCTTGGAAAAAAAAGGTGGTCTGAGCAGGACCCAGGGCCCTGCTTAAATCTCAGCCGCTTTCCGTCGCTCGATATGACGTAGATCAATAATCAACTCACCACCACCAACTCTATCACTCGGTCCTCATCCAAAACCACCAAGAGGCGGATATAACACAAAATTGTTTAGTTGTGTAGTTGATTCTGGCAGTCACAAAGAAGAATTCCCTCCTCCCATATGTCTAACAAATTTGACGTCCTAGCCTTGTAACATATATAAGTTATCTACCTATTCACTATAACAATATTGACTCTAAAGATACAATTAAAATGGCACAAAGGGTGGGAATGTACGCTAAGCACACAATGGTTATGGGTTGGCCAATTGCTCGACAAAATGCCTCACTTAAAATTGAGAAACATTTTGGCGCTTCATGCGCTCTTTTTGGAATTCCACAAGGACCTAATCTGCTATTGCTTAGTTGTGCCCCCCATAAATGTTTTTTTAGCTTCGCCCCTGAATATAATCATGATGTTTCTCCATGCTCATATATTGAGAGATAAAAGTGTCAGTATCTCAAGATTGATACTATTGACCGAACCAAGATTGATGTCCCTAGAACACATTTAGTTTATAGTATATTGTAAGTAACCAGGAGAAAGTACTCTAGATTGAGAGTATAGCAGTTCATGGTTAAGTCGGGTTTTAATTAATGGTATTTGGTTCTAGGATCTAAGACTAGTATCTTGCTACTGAGTTGCTGCTTTTAGATTTTCTCATTATTATGAAAATGTAGAGGATATGAAATCTGAATAGAAAAGGAGATGAAAATGAATTAAATCAAAATACTAAAGGAAAGTATGTCAATTGCCTTTTTTTAATACAATACACAAATTATATCTTTTACAATGGTATCCCTTTCAAATATGGAAGTTGAAAGTTAATCATCGTTATTATCATCACCATTTCCACTGAGCTCAATTCATCCCACCTCTATATTTCCTAGTGTTATCTGTAACTCAAACAACAAAGTCATATGATGTAATTCATTGAATAATCCAATCGTGGGTATTTGGGGGCTGTAAACATCTGTGATATAACTGGAAAGATTGCCATCTTCTGCTGTGCATTAGTACCTGTCTTTTTATGAGTGCTAATGAATTTGGTTAGCACTGAGAGAAAGCTGAGTTATAATCTTTCAATCGTGATGTTTTTGGGTTTTCTTCTTATTGCTTAAAGTAGTTTATTGCTTTCATACCCAGGATATTGGGGCATGTACCTTGTTGGTGTCCAATTGGGAAACTTTCTTCTATTCAATTACCATTCCTCTGCTACAATGGGAAGCAATAAATGGGCAACAATTAGAGTTTGGATACTTTCACTTCTCCTTTGGTATTTCTCTACTCCAAGTCTTATTGTCAAATTTATTCTCTCTCTTGGAGCTATAAGGTGGTTGCTGAAGGTGTTAAATTCTTTTCTGTTTCAGGTTATTAACTGTGATTATAGACCGCCATGTAGAGAGAGTTTCCCGTCGGATGGTATGTGTACTTCTGCTTTTACTCAAATTTTGTACGTGTTTGAATGGTAATTTTTAAGGAAACTAAAGTATGTATGCATTTTTGCAGTGCAACCTGGCTTATGTTACACTGGTTTTGGCCGTAAATTTACAGGTTAAGCCCTTTTCCTCTTTTGATTTGAATTTAAATGGCATGTTCCCTTCTGAAATTATTGATTTGGATGTATAAAATTTAACTGGCATGACCCCTTCTGAAATTGTCGTTGTAATTGAAAATATCCTCACTCGTCTTTAGAAGCTTTAATTTTCTGTTTATAAGATTATTAAAATAGAAAATTATTTAGAATATGTTTATCGGTAGTATCCGTAGAAAGAATCAGTTCAAACAACTTCCCACTTTTTTGTTTAACTCCAACTCAAGTTGTCACTCATTTTTCAGGTGTTGGCAATATTTCTTCTCTCTGATTTTCTCCCCGGAAGCAAAACTTCAGTGCTGGAAGAAGCATATAACCGCAATTTGCTGGGGACATTTCTTCTGGTATACTACAACGAACTTTTTTAAGTTTCTTGTGGTGACCAACAAATGTTTGTCTGGTTTAATCAACATTTGCAAGCTTCCATTCTCTCTTGCTGCACGCGTAACACAATCTGATTCTTCTTCCCTTGCAGGCGAATTTGCTCACGGGTTTGGTGAACTTGATGGTGGAGACCCTGTTTGCATCGGCAGTCAAAGCCCTTTTTATTTTAATTGCCTATACATTTTCGACGACCTTCATCATTGGACTGCTAGATTACTGCGGCATCCGGTTGAAATTTTGGTAGGTCGACCATCAAACTGGCAATCTAATTAGTTAAGGACATGAATCAAATGAAATCACCAGAAATCCTATGAAGTTGTTACTCTTGATGACAATGGTTTTTATGTTCCTTCTCGGAGCCACCTATGTTAACAACTGAGCCACCCAACCCAACATGCATACGCACAAGCGCGCACACACGCAGAGAGACAAGAAGGTCCTTCTGCACTTCTGGAATGAGATTGAAAACATTAACGCTTCGTATCCTGAAACACTGTAACGCTTTGTAGTTTGTAACATACTAATTGATTAGCGCTGTTGCGGGTTTAAAAAATTAGTCAATTGGTGTTCATTGTAAGGGGTAAAGAATTTGTAGTTAACGCCAGAGTTTAATCTTGCTTTCTCTTCTAGTGCAGTATGATGTATTGGGCATTAAAATCATGTTGTTAGTCACTCGGTGAACAAAGATTTCACGGTCATATACCCTTGATGTCAAAGCTGGAGAATAAATAGCTGTGTTTTTAATGTCCTAAAATTTAATTTCAACCAATGACGTAAACAAATCTAATGGTAAGTGGTATTATGCATTCTTCAATCACCTGGTGGCCAAGAGAACGTTTGGATGGGTAGGCAGAATTGTGAATGTAGGCATGCAGATTGAAATGGTATGGTAATTTGGGTATAGGCATGTGGCATCGGTTGTCGAGTACGATGACAAGTCAAGATTTGGTTTGTGCAATGGAGACGAAGATGTAGCCTTCCAAGCTTCAATTGTACAAAAACAGTACCCTAGAAATCTACAAGAGAAATCAGAAAAGCAAGTGTGACAAAATAGCCAAAATGGCGTCGTTTTTGTGGTAAAATATATAAAGTAAAAGTAAAAGTGAAAGTAAAAAATAAAGGGCAGAAAAGGTTTGAGTAGGTCTTTGAGTAGACTTAGATTATGGGGCATCGTAGGAAATGTAGTTTATCGAGAGGAGCAGAAGCAGATGGTCACATGGATTAAGTTGCAGAGAGGCAACAGTCTGGATCGGTTCGTGGTCCCAACTCCGAAGGCCACCATCCTAACTTCGTAAGGCCACCGTCTTCCTTCTTTCCATATGTCCTCGTTCAGTCACTATAAGAAAGATTTGCAGACAGTCAACCTACATCGTCTGCTTCACTCAAATTAAGATTATGTATTGAAATTGAAATGAAGTCTTTCAATATCCATAGTTCTCGATCATTGTTAGATTTCAGAAAACACTAAGCGTTAGTCGGCGGCAAGCTGGTGCCTATCGCCTAAGTGTTTATGTAGTACCTAAGCAGACTAGGCGGTATTAAGTAATAAATCTTATAAATTAAATTAAGTGTACTATATAATATAAATAAACATTCAATAATATGGTATTTTTTTAAAATAAATTATGTAAAATTTTAGACTCTATATTGGTTTTGTACCATTTTCATTTTCTAGGCCCACATTGTTGGGTTTTTTCTCATTCATAAAAAAGAAAACTAATGAAAAAAGACTTTAGATCGTTGCATTTTAATAAAAAAACTATCTACTAACTTTATTAATAATAAAGACAAAATAAAAATAAAAACAAAACATAAAATACAGCACATGCGCTAAGCGTGCGTACCCCCGAACCCACCCCCTCCCTTTCCACTCTTTTTTTCTCCTTGGTGTCTTAAGAGTTTGTTTGTTGTTTTTTTTGTTTGTTTGTTTTTTGTTTTTTTTCTTCTTCTTAGAATAAGAGAAAGACTTCAAATTGCATACATTTTCCAGTTTTATTTTTGTGCTGTTGTTTCCTAATAGTAGTAAAGATGATGAGAGAATTTTCAATGTGCCCGGAACACAGATCACGTGACACACCCCGACCCAGAATGTCCACTAAGATTCCAAATCGAGATGTGTTGGCCGACACCTAGAGGGTGACGAAGCTATAAAGTGTGACGATGATGAAAAAAAATGTGAATACATTTGAACCTAAGAGTGCATAAATACCAGAGTGCGCTAGTGAGCGGGCATGAACCTATTCACATGCGATACAGAGCATAATTAAAGTACAGTAAGGTAAGATAATGATTATACCATCATAAGAAGCCACCTATACTGGGAAGTGCCACAGATCCTCTTCGATACGGAAGCTTTGCTACTAGAACCTAGAGGGGTGCAAGATAGAAAGTGTGAGTGGGCAAAAACAAAGCTTTTCAAACCGTTTCACTTATCAAAGATAATAACCCCTCGCCATAAAACCTGTATAATTTCCCAGAAAATAGAATATATACCTATATCGAAACCATGCTCGGAATAGTAACATCCATATGTATGTCATGCTCAATATTTCAACATAATGAAATAAGTAAACCAGGTGAAATAAATCCATGAAAAGTAATATGTCAGCCGGATCCACTTATTGTGGCATGTACGACTGAACCTATAGCTCATCCAATATCCAAGTAATGTGTCAGCCAGATCTACCTCTTGTGGCCTGTATGTCTGAACCTATAACTCATCCAATATCCAAGTAATGTGTCAATCGGATCCACCTCTTGTGGCCTGTACGGCTAAATCCATAGCTCATCACATATCCATGCATACTAGTCGGAACCACCTCTAGTGGTCTGTACGACAGGCTGTGTGTAAATAAATACTCTCAAGCGCTACGATCACGTGACGGCTGTGCGAAGTATTGCAAGTCACCTACGAGTCGGAACCACCCAATGTGGTCTGTACGACAGGCTGACACCTACCTTGAATTCAAGGTGAGCGTGTGGTGCGGGAGGTGAACGATCACGTGAAGGCTAGGTCCTGTCCTCGGGTGAGAGCACTAACACCGAGGTGCAAGTTTATGAGCTCTAACTGCATCTAATATGACATATACAACTCATGGGCAACCTATACGACAATGTTGGAGTTGCCTCTTATTGTAACCTGTATGACAGTGTCGGAGTTGCTTAAAACGTAAATATAGTTATGCCATAACTCAATCATTCCAAATAAAATGTAATCATAACCATGCATCCCACATTTCTCAACATATACTTATTGGAACTTACCTATGCATGCTACATTCACCTTCGTACTTCAAAGCATTCACAGTAATTATACGCAGTAATATACTTATGGATATGCCCTGATATAATCCAAATCTTAACCATATCGTAGTGCTTCCAAATATATATATATATATACACACCTATAATGTGGCGTAAAAGGCATAATCTATAACGCCCTACTCTCGAACTATTTATTTTCAGGAATAATTATCGGTGACAAACTCAATTGAACACTAGTTTAACTAACTATCAATACTACGATTCTTTACTTCAATTTCTCAATCCCTCACACAATGATTTATGACCAACATCCAATCACTAATTAATAAGGTTAAAACTCACATTTTCTACCAATGCCCTTCACATTGCTCAATTCCCCAAACAAGGCTAGTGTCTCAATTATTTAGTCTCATTTATTGTATGGTTGCATCTAACGTCTCGTTAGATTGCCTATGTACCCTAAATAGGGATCAAGCCATTCATAGTTCACATTTCCAAAGTTCAACCCAAAACTAAATATATAATCATTTAATCTAACCTATACTATACTCGTACTTCCAAACCACTGCAGTTAGGTTTCAAAAGTATAATTAGAATAATGAAATTCACATAAAAACACCATGTCGGCTCCCTGACAGTGCGCCACCGCACCAGCCACCGCTGATGGCGGTCGGCCGCTCCGGCTCGTCGAAAACTCAACTATATTTAAAAATTCTCAAAAATTACAAAAATAAAGATCTCAGTGAGTAGAGTAACTTTCATACCTGCAACCGAGGTCAATTTGGCCTGGAAGAGCCCCAATTTTGCTAAAACCCGTCGGAAACCCTAGTTTTGGGTGCCCTCAATTTGGCTCCATAGCAACTCCGACGCCCCCAAACTTGTTTGGGCTTTATTCCTGAGCTTAAGAGGAGTATTTTGGTGGTGGTAATTTGAGGGTTTTGTTTAAGAATTTGAGGGATGGCTACCACGAACCCTTAGCCTCGCCGTCGGCCCTTTGATGAATTTACACTCAAATTCCTTCAAATTTTAGGTGGATATGGAAGAGGGAAGACTAGGGAGTAGTTTCTAGGTAGTGGTTTGCTTTGATTTGCTGGAAAATAGCCAAATTTGGCCATGGTTCTCTTCGGGTCGCGCGGGTCATGGGATGATCCGTTTTCCCCTTCCTTTTCTCTTTTCCTCCTTGCCCTTCTTTCTTCTCTTTCTGATTGGGCAGTTTCTTCCTCTCCCCTCTCCCAATTCGTCCATCTCCCTCCTGTGCTCTCTTCCTCCCTTCTCCTTCGCTGCCATCAGGCAGCCTCCCATTTCTTCCTTTCTTTCTAAAAACTGATCGGTTCCTCTTCCCACAAGATGGGAGTTCAATTTAATTAACATTAAACTTAAAGTAACTAATTTCAAATGTTTGTAACTATACCGATATGAATTGGACTCGCAAACGGCTTTCGCCTATGTGTTCGTACTAACGAGTACTATTTAAATACGCTAAAAGAATAAGTCATACTTTTCTCTAACGATGGTCAACGGAAGTCCAAGTCCTTGCCTCTAGGGTTAATTATGAAAAAGCACTTGAAGTGCTTCTAGCAAGAAGCACATAACTGGTGCTTTTAGCAAGAAGCACTTCAAGTGTTTTTGGATTCTAAAAACATTTTCTTTGAAAACTTTCATTCATTTAAAAGCACTTGTCAAATGAGCCCTAAGAGTTAGAGTGCATTTCTAACTAATTTAGTTTAAACCCCTTTTTACATGAAAGCCCCATAACACTGCATGACACTTTGATCAACTTAGCTCGTGAACTCCTCCCTAAACCCATGAGATTCCTGGAATTGGATCCCATCCTGATCCATTTTGTGGGGATCCTAGAGATCCCCACATCTTAGTCATTTATAGTGTATCGTGCAGTCAGAAATTATTTGATTTTTTTTTATTTAAAATGAAACACAAATAATATTTGATGAAAACTGACCATACGATGTACGATGAACAGTTAGGATGTGGGAATCTCTAGAATCCCCACAAAGTAAATCGAGAGGATCCTCTTCCGAGATTCCCTACCGTGAACGACAAAGGCGCTGGGTGCTAGCTACCGTATTCGGCAGAAAGCAACCAATTGTTTTGAGCATTTTCAGTTGTTCCCTATTGAATGAAAACCCAATTTTCGGTGCATGACTACCGAATACTGAGGCTCACGATGATCTCACACAGGTTTTTTTTTGTATGTAGAAGACAAAACCAAAATCCTTAATGGACAAGGTGCAAAATTAAGCTGCACAGGCAGATGGACAAGTCTTTATCTCACTTTTTCTATATATAATTCATAATTGAACAGATGGAGACGGTGGTGTTACTTGATGAATACATCTTTTCTCCTTTTCAAATAAGGTTGCTCACTTTCTAATTGTAATTAGCAAATAATAAATCATCTTATTACAATTATTGATGATTGTACTAGCAAGGATAATACAGGCTTTTTTTTTTTCTGGATG